ATGTAAAGAACTCAAAAAACTTAATACCAAAAAAAAAAAAAAAAAAATCAAACAGCCCAAGTAGTAAATGGGCAAAAAAACTAAACAGACATTTCTCAAAAGGAGAAATGCAAATGGCCAAAAAATACATTAAAAAATGTTCAACATTTCTAGCCATCAGGAAATGCAAATCAAAACTACATTAAGATTTCATCTCTATTCAGAATGACAATTATGAAGAACACAAGTAATAATAAATGTTGGTAGGATGAAGGTATACACATACATTGTTGGTAGGCCTGCAAATTAGTGCAACCACTCTGGAAAGCTATATGGAAATTAGGAAGGATAGTAGAACGAAACTGACATTATTACCTTATGTACATATATGACTGCACGACCAAAGTAATACTATAACATGTACAACCAGAAAAACGATAAATTATACCCCATTTATGTATAATATATCAAAGTACATAAATGAATTCTACTGTCATGTATAACGAATTAAAACAAATAAAAAAATATTTAAAAAAAAACAGGAATGGAACAACAATGTGACCCAACTATCCCACTCCTAGGTGTATATCCAAAAGATCCAAAATCAACATGCTATATGGTTACAGTCATATCAATGTTTTTAGTACAATTCATAACAGCTTAGCTATGGAACCAACCTAGATGAATGGATGAAGAAAATATGGTGTATATATACAATGGTGTATAACTCATGAAGAAAAATAACATTATGATGTTTGCTGGAAAACGGGTAGAACTGAAGCCCATCATGCTAAATGAAATAAGTAATATCCAGAAAGTCAAAGGTCAAACGTTTTCTCTAATAAGCAGAAGCTAGTCCAAAATGGGGAGGGGAGTGTGTGCCTGTGTAGGTGGGTGGGTGGGTTCCATTAAAATAGAGAGAGATTGGTGGAATGTAAAGAGGGATAGAGGAGGTGGGAGGAGAGAATGGGATAAGCGAAGAACAGTGGGATGAATCTGACATAATTCTCTTATGTACATATGAATACAACACAGTGAACTAACTTTTGTTTATAACCACAAGGTACTAATTAAAAAAAACTATAAGTAAATAGCAGAAAGATCACTAAAGTAGAGGAAAGGGAACAGGGGAGGGAGGAAGGGAAATTAGAGTAAATTCTATTCTACACTCTTGTATCAAAATGAATCCTAATTTTATATATAACTAAAAAGAACTAATAAAAATTTTTAAAAGATTATCTAAATCTCACTGTGTTTTATCTTCAAATTTCTTACATAAAGTTTCAATTAGAGATATGATTTTACTACTTCTTATCTATATAAAAGCTATCTATCCCAATGTCATAATTAATTAGTTATCACTGAAAAAACTAACACTTCAGTAAAATTGTTTTACAAAAGAAAGGAACTTTGTCACATAAAAATTTTATTATTGCAAATAATTTAATGTCACTATTTTCAATGTTAGCATACCAAATTTAGAAGATAGTTTTTACAACTATAATTACTAAAACTAGAGAAGCTACTGAAATTCTATCAAGAGGTAGAACTTTGACTAATTCTGCCCTAAAACTCTTTCTTTCAAAAGCAATGGTCAAATTATTACTAAAATATAAGTTAATGTTTATGGAAAAAATGAAAGTATATTTCTAGGCATATTAATACATTTTAAAATCTTTAAAATCTTACAAAAAGTTGTTTTCCCCCAACTCTCAGTTTTGTGATGTTTTAATCCAGAAACTGAACTTGGGACTGTAGTTAACCTTTCCTTACTTAAAATTTAAATTCAGAGAAAATATGAGTAAAACCTACAGCAATTCTAGGTCTGGAAGTGCTTCAACTTTAATTCATTTGGGCAATTTTGGGGGACATTTGTCACTTATTAAGAGAATCAATCATCAAATGTTGAGAAGCCAATGTCATGTAAACTTCTTTTGAAAAGCAATGTCACTTTACCTTAATGATATTTTTTTCAGAATCTTATTATGAAACTCAAAATATAATCATAGATGAAATCTATGTAGTCATTAAAAATACACTTCTGGACATGAGAAAATATTCATATTTATATAACTATTTTTAATAATGTGACATAGCAGTAATGATTGTTCTTTTCTTTAAATATGTGTGTGTCTTCTTCAATGAGCATATAAAATTATATTATAAAGTAACTGTCATTAAAAAATATTACCCTTGGGGCTGAGGTTGTGCCTCAGTGGTAGAGTGCTTGCCTATCATGTGTGAGGCAGTGGGTTTGATTCTCAGCAACCACATATAAATAAAATAAAGGTCCATTGAAAACTAAAAAATCTTTAAAAAAAAAAAAAATCACCCTTACCAGTATTACAAAAGCTTTCTCTCTTTTTAAAATAATCCCATTTCTATGCCTGATGGCAGAGGTGCCAAATGACAATGTTATGTCAGTGAATATATGTCTGGTACAGCTTTTTCCCAGACATTTGATTTTTCACCACACATATGAAACCACATCAGATATTTCTTGGGGTTTACTATGTCTACTATGTGTTTAGGAAGATATAAATCTATACATCTATACTTAAATTAGAATTAAACTAGTATATGTTTAAGAAAAAAAAATCTTATTATCCAAAAGTTCTAACAGAATTTTTCTTTTCTTAAATGCTGTGAAATCCAAGCCTCTTTTAGCTATACAGAGATCAACTGATATAAAATTCTTATCTGATAATTCTGTAAATAAAATTAACCTCAGAAAGTTATGTTTTGCATGCCAAAAGTGATTTTTCATGACTTTGTTTTATTCTAATTTGAATTTTATTCTAAATATTTTATGAAAGCTTTCTTATTAGAGGACCTAGAGGAACATTAAAAAAGGTAGCTAGCTGGGGCTGGGGTTGTGGTTCAGTGGTAGCGCACTCGCCTGGCATGTGTGAGGCACTGGGTTCGATCCTCAGCACCACATAAATGAAAAATAAAGATATTGTGTCCACCTAAAACTGAAAAATAATTTTTTTTTTTTTTTTTAAAAGGGTAGCTAGGGGCTGGGATGTGGCTCAGTGGTAGAGCACTTGCCTAGCATGTGTGAGGCCCTGGGTTCGATTCTCAGCACCACATATAAATAAAATAAAGGTCCATTTATAACTAAAATAAATATATATACATTTTTAAAAGGGAATAGTTAGAATTAGATAAAGTTGTTCAATTTATAAAACTGTGTTATTCATGCTATAAATTACTAGCATGAACATCTGAGCCAATAAAATTTAATAAACAACATATACAACAACCATATCTACTTATATATTCCCAGGCAATTTCAAAATCATGAAAAGGTAATGATCTAGCAGCTTAAATTCAATTCAAACCTTTACTGAAATCTGCTTTGTACCTTTAGACATTAAAACATGACAATAAATGAAGTCCCTGCTTACAAAGTTTAACTGTGGCAAAACTACCACATAAAAAACTTCATGCAATTTGCTATATGATTATCCACTTTCAGTTTCCACTTAAATTCAGAGAAAGGTATCTATTTTGTGTGGCGTTAGCTAATTCCAAATACTCCAAGAGAATACCTATGAAGTTTTCAAAGGAGAAAAGAGCAAGCTAACAGAAAAGAAAGGTTTAACATGGATTCCCTAATTACCATAAAGACTAAGGGTTCACAACTATTATTTCAAAAACACTTGAGAACTGAACTGGGGATCTGAGACTGTCCTCCATGGAAAAGTCAAATCCATTCTTAAAGCCCTGATTAAAGTTAACAGTTTCTACTGAAATCTAAAGTTAAATTAGAAAAAAATTAAATTATAATGACTAAAAGTGGCACAAACAAGCTCTAGATAAAGGTTCATAAGATATTATGGCAGATACAAGGTATGGACTTACCAAATAAGTTGAGCAATTTCATTTGGATCATGTATGAATTAATTAATAACAAAATAAATCATTGCGAAATTTAAAAATAATTTGTAGAGAAACGATACAATTCTATGAACAAATGTTTATGACAAATAGAACAGCAACATGCCTAAAGAATTATAGCATATGAGTTCAAGTATATCAAGTGAAAGCCTAGGGATATAAGAAATACTAAATGGCTGTACTAGAGCAGGGGTCAGGAAACCACAGAACCCACTCTGTTTCAACAGGGCTCAAGAATTAAGAATTAATTTTTACAGATTTGTAATCAACTTGGTGATATGGAATATTAAATTGAACTACAATTAAAGAAATATTTATACCTCCCAAAAAGCATTTATTCTTCTGATTAATAGACCTACATTACAAATAAAAACAATTGTGCTCATTTCCTATTACATTTTTATTAATAAAAAAGAATGCAAATATGTTTTCTATTTCATTATTTAAGTACATATATAACATCTTTGATTCTGCCTTTTGGCCCACAAAGCCTAAAATATTTTATATAGCTCTTAATAGAAATAGTTTGCCCAATTCTGTATTACAGCACTATTAATTTTAATAGTGGGAAGCATTTTTAGACTTTTAGAAAATAAAGAGAAGTCTCAGCTGAAAATTGTAAAAAATTTTATGGACAGTAAGGAAGATCAAGGATCTCACACACTGGTCTTTTCAACCACATTTGCACACAATGACAACTAGCAAAATCCCCTTGACTAAAAGAAAAAACATTTTTATAGAATGAAGTATAAAGCTTTAAAATAACTTGATTGTAGTCCTATGCTCAAATGCTTGAAATTATATAGAGAATTATGGCTCAGCATAATAAAAGCTGATTTCTAGCTGTCCAAATATACAATGGGCTGCATCTCAAAGAAGTAATCTAATGCTTTGAAACAGATCCCTTTCCTGCATCAGACACAGAAAATAGATTTTCCAGAATTATTCAACAAGAAGTGGGTTCTTTTACCTGCTCTACACCTGAATTTGCAACATGATCTTGAATCACTTTCTCCATTTTTTTAAGTTTCTTGCACATGTGTGTTTGTGTTTGTGATATATTACTAAAACAGCATCAAAATTACTTTCAGTTAAAAACTCAAATTCAATCTTCTCACCTTGATTATTTCTACCAACTGATCCACACCACTGTCCCCTGGAAATATTGGTTGTCCTAGCAACAGCTCAGCCAACACACAGCCTGCAGACCATACATCTGAAGAGAACATAAAGATTTATTAGACTCTGAAACTTAAGTTGAAAAAAATGTATATATTTTCTAATTTTACTTAAATTATGCTGATCACAAAGCAAATATCACAAGGATTGTATAATCCTAAACAGGATTTTGAAAAATACAAAAAATTTCCCTAATTCAATTTTAAATTAGTGTTACACTTAACAAGGATGAAATAAGGCCAATGAGAATATTCCAATAAAGCATAAAGTATCATTTTCAACTACCAGGTCTTCAAGAGAGGATTAAAGTTCCAAAGCCACAGAATGACTGTGTACTTCTCTACTTAAAAACAGTCAAAGTGACACAATCTCTGCATGTTAGGAGATGCCTACAGAGGAGGAGCAATACAGGGTTCAAACTCCCACAGACACTGTGTTTTAAACCAATGAAAATTCTGACTTTTAAATGGTTGACTTTTATGTGAGATGACTGACAGAGAAATATGCTTAACTATATCATCATTCTAAATGCAAAGTAATGACAAAGACAGCAAGGTATATATTTCATTTCAATTTCATAAATCATCAAAAATAATTCATTTTTAAGTCAAAATGGGTATCCCAAAGAGAAAACTTTTAAAATAATGTAATCAATAAATTGAATAACAATACATTTTAAAAATTAATTTAAAGCACACATCTGGCTTATCTAGTATATTCTTGGTTTATATCTATTATCCTTGACTAATCATTAATAACACCCTCTTTCTGCCAAAAAAATATCTGAAGATAAATTAACTGATATAAGTGATCACTCCAGTTAAATTCTACTATTAACATTTCCTGCAAAGAAAAGCTATTTTTCAGTTTTCAGGTTTCTGAGATTCCTGGGTTTTGTATGTACCAAGACTGAAGTACTTTAGGGAGATGAACATATATTATTGCTATATCAAGACTGAAGTACTTTAGGGAGGTGAACATATATTAGTGCTAGATAGGTTTTTCTATCTACACGTAGGGAAGGAGAATAATAGTGAATGGTATGGAGATAGTACATCTCAAGAGGGATTCAAAAATCTCTGCTCAAGTGACTACTTTTATTGACCTAAAACAAGTCATAGATTTCATTTGAGAAAAGCCAAGTTGATTTTGTTCAGCTCCAAGTAATGACAGTCAAGACACTGGTTCTATAATGTAGACCAAGACAGTCAGTCCTATGTGTTACCTTAAGAAACTGCTCAATGGAACAAATGTGAAAACCTACTAGAGACTCTTTATTTCACTCAAAGCCAATTGTACTAAATTTTACAGATCCAAATGGAAAAAGTACATCTTACTAAACATTTTATTTTGATTCAAGTTTTAAATATTTCCTTCCTATCTGATTAGATAGAAGTTAGTGTGCACCTACTTTTTTCCTTAATAATACTGAATAATTCATCTCATAAGGCAAGGTCAGAAAAATTACTGGGGAATGCATTAAAAAAACAACGGAGAATGTAATAGGAGGATTCAATATAAATATGGAAAACATGAAATAAAATCAAGGAATACTATTACCTAGTAGTTCTCACCAAAATTAAAAATCAAAAAATTCGGCGACAACTATACTAAGTACCCTTTGATTCATGTTAAGTCAGTCAAAATACTAAAACCAGGTGTTATGGTTTAGATGCGGTGTCCCCCAAAAGCTGATGTGTGAGACAATGTAAGAGATTTGGAGGAGACATGATTGGGTCATAGTCCTACCCTCATCAGTGAATTAACCCTCTAATGGGATTAAATGAGTGGTAACTGGAGGCAGGTGGGGTATGGCTGCAGGAAGCGGTTCATTGGAGGTGTAGTTATGGAGTATATATTGGTATCTGGTGAGTAAAGTGTCTCTCTCTGCTTCCTGATCACCATGTGAGCTGCTTCCCTCTGCCACATTCTTCCACCATGTTGTTCTGTGTCACCCCTAGGAATAAAGCCGGCTATCTATGGATTGAGACTTCCAAAACCATGAGTCCCTAAATAAACCTTCCTTCTTTACAATTGTTTTCACCAGATCCTTTACTCACAGTGAGAAAAGCTGACTAAAACACCAGGGGGATACCACAACTTTTTTGTTCTTACTTCACAGGACAAAATGGGGAACTCTCCAAACATAAAAATTCAACTAAACAATAGGTTCACGCACCGCCCCCCCAAATGTTCTGGTCCATTGAAATTTAGTTATTTGGGGTTTGAGACACAGTGGCATTCTGTTTCATACTTAACTCTTATTCATGATAAAGTCATATTTCAAGATCATCTAATTTAACACATTTACTTCACAGATAAGGAACTTAAGGCACGATAAATGTAAACAACTTGTCAAAGGAAAAGCTGCTGATAGCAGAGCCCTAGACCTGGAATCCACCTTTAATTCCCAATGAAGACAACACTGTCTCAAAGTCACAGAATAACAGCTTCTTCAAGAGTCCATATGCTTAACTATCCTAAAAAGAAAGCCTTTGTTCTGATTCATTCATCTCTCAGTAAGATAATATAATCAATCTTAAGTGACTATCATTTCTAACATTATTCTTAAAAGTGTTTTAAAAATGTTCCTGTATTAGTATACTTCCAAATATCCTTTTTTTTTGGGGGGGGGGGATGTTTACAATTTTTTCAGAGCCTTAAGAGGCAGATCAAATCTAGGTTCGCTAGGGTTTCAAAATCCCTAGTTTATATAGACATTCCATGTGGTAGATGATAAGAGTTATGAGACTTTTTCGGATGAACCAAAGTGCGTTTATTTTAGGTGACCTGGGCACAACTCATTCCTGTGTCATTTCTGAAGATCATTAGTATCATATATTTGAATAAAATATAAAGTAGCTAAAAAAACATTCAATGACATTTCCAAAGACAAATAGGTAAAATTTACTCTAGGGGCCATTCAAATTAACAAATGCCACAGAAAGAACATCACTTTGCATTTCTATAGCACTTTCACTAATATTTTATGGACTCTCACAGACACTAACAAAGGTAGGTAGAACTGTTAATATCTAATTTCAATCTTACAGCTCAGCTAAGCACAATATTACAAGATTTGGAAGTCAAATCCAGGTTGAACTCAGGGAAAATATTCTTTGTACCACTTCTCATTTGTCTTTTAACATATTACCACATAACACAGACATTAGCATTACATACACACAGTGTTATATTCTCTCTCCCTTTGTGCAGCAGTTCTCAAAGTGTGCTCTGTAGAACCCTATGTCTTCTGGATATTTTCAGAGGTCCTGGAGAGCAAACCTATTTTCTCAAAGAATATGCTATTTCACTGGGTAGAAATTTGCACTTGATGTACAAAACAAATGGTGGATAAAACTCTAGTCCCTTGGAACAAATGAAAATGTAATCCAGCATATCCCTTTTTGGCAAAATGAAAATGAAAATGTTAAGAATTTTTATTTGTATCATAAAGTCAAAAAGTTTCCAAAATTATTGTTCTTTTTCTTTCTTTCTTTCTTTAAGTTTTCAGTACTGCAGGGTTTTTGGGGGGCTGTGTATTTATTCTATTCTATGTTCCAATTTTGGACTACAGAATTCTAATCAGAAAAAACATATAAGAATAAAATAATTTTTTGTGTCCACTTGCACCATATAGCCTAAGCTTGCCCCTTGTTTCTTAGTTTCCTATTCATGTACAGCTGTTCATGTATGGTCTGTATTTTAACCAGGGTGCTAAAATGGGGAAGAAAAGGTCAATAGAGACTTCAATTAATTGTCTCCATTCATATCCTTCAATCACTAAACATCTCTGCTACAGACTTCTAAAGAATCAGTGAGCTGGACGCTCAGCTGGTTGTACCTCAGTGGTAGAGCACTTGCCTCGTATAAGTGAGGCACTGGCTTCAATCCTCAGCACCACATAAAATAAAGAAAGAAAGGTATCGTGTCCATTTACAACTAAAAATAATTAAAAAAAAAAAAAAAGGAATCAGTGATCTTGGTTGAACTGCTAATGATTTATGCTGACCTGAAGTTAAATAACCAAAATAAGACAGCATGGGATGAATTCAATAATATGGTCAGCCTCTGTTATTAACAATAACCTGTTAATTATTGTTAATAACCTGTGTTACTAACAATGAAATAACATTAAATTCTCTAACTGGCAATCAAGCTCAGAACTGAACATTTCAGGCAAATTTAAGAAAGGTATACAACTTAGGATTTGAATCATTAATAAAGTAAAAACAAATAGATAACCAACTATAGCTTTATAATTTTAGTACTCAAAAAAATCCTAAAGATTACAAAGTGTATTATAAATTCTTAAATGCAAAATTTAAATATATGTACGTATATTTCTACATCTCATCTTTAAGAAAAAATATAGGTAACACCCTTCTTTCTTGGCCAGTGAAAGTAGATTGATAATAATGAATTGTTAAAACCAAGATGCAATTAATAATTATAAACATTATATTCAGATTCAGAACTTACCTATACTAGAGGTATAATCAGTGGCTCCAAAGATCAACTCTGGTGCCCTATAGTACCGAGAACAAATATATGAAACATTCGGTTCTCCTCGGACCAGCTGCTTTGCACTAATAAAAATATAAAAAATAAAAAGTGTTTAAAATTTAAACTTTAAAGGAACTTATAATTATCATGCACAATACCAAATGTTTATCTTTTAAGTTTCACATCATTCCAATCATCCAATATACAAAATAGAAAATATGAACCATAACTATCCCAATCTACAATTTTCTCACATTTTTTTTCAGTAAAATAGAACAGAGATTTTAAAAGGCAGAATGGCTCAATTGTTGCCTAATAAAAAAGTGATTAAAAAGTCAGAAAAGAATAAATGTTGAATTTCTTCTGATTCTGTTTCCCAAATTCTACTTCTAAAATATTAAGATGGAAGGGCACAAAATGAAGAGACACCTCTCTCAACCAAAAGGCATGATAACAGATCAGAATAGAAGAAGGAATATTTCTAATTCAACATATCCTTACAATTTTACTTCTGACTCAGGATGAATATCTGAAGGAATACACACCTAATCTCTTTAATTTCCACATTTTGGTTTATTTATTAACTGTTTACATACTCATTATCCAATAAACTACAAAAAGATAGGCCTTAAACTTTAGGGAAGAAATTATTCACAACCTACAAATTCGGTCTCTTGTGGTAAGTCTATGTGTTCTCTTATTTCAACTTTAACTCTAAAATACTTTGTAGTATGTATTTTAAACAGTATAGTAAATTGTACTTAATATATTTTGAGATGTCTGTGAAGAAAAAATAAGCTGCTACAGAAGCTAACCATTTAAATAAGCTGCTACGAAAGAAGCTAACCATAATAACATCAAACATAGATACAGAAAATAAATACATGCAACAAAATTTTAAAAAGTAAGTGCCAAGAAAATTGTGACATAAAGGTACAGGAAAATCAGAATAACAATGGATGAAAATAGTCATAAGGATTTTGAAGTCTAGGCTTTCTTTTCTTCAATTTATTTCTAGTCAGTGATTACTAAATGACCTTAAAATTTTTTTACCCTTCATCACCATTTGGAGGGGCAGGGGGTACTAGGGATTGAAATCAGGGGCACTTGACCACTGAACCATATCCCCAGTCCTATTTTGTATTTTATTTAGAGGCAGGGTCTCGCTGAGTTGCTTAGCACCTTGCTTTTGCTGAGGCTGGCTTTGAACTTGTGATCCTCCTGACATAGCCTCCTGAGCCACTGGGATTACAGGCCTGCACCACTATCCCCTGCTCATCACTGGTTTAAAAGTTTATTTTTCACCCTTTCCCTCCCTAAGTACTGACAAACAAAAATTTCACGAATCAAAAATGAAACGTATTTTTATGTTTTCTAAAAATTAAAACATTTCATTTCAAGCAGAGGTGATAAGAAACTTTTCTACCTTTAAAAGTCTACTTTTTAAAACAAAATAGATTCCAATTACAGTTTAAAAATTCACTGCAAGTCAAATGGTAACAATGAAAGCTTTGTAGTCTATAGACTCTTTCACTACTTGATACATGTGTCTACCCTCTTTCTCTTACAAAATAAGGCTGTTTGTAAAACTCCCTACTCAAGAGAATTCTTAGCCCATGTAGCCCTTCAGCTACCTTCAGGTGCTGTTTCACCCAGTAAAGAATTAATAATAAGACATTAATACTGGTCTGTTCAAATCTCCACCAACCTAGTACCTAAGAGTATCAAGTGTCTCTCAAACCCTACTTGCCCAAAACAATTTTGTTAAAAACCAAGAAAGCACCTTTGTTATCAAAGAGTTTATAAAAATGCAGTCTTACCATACAAATAAAATCTCTGTTCCAAATTTATTAGAATAAAGTCTAGGCTTTCTTTTCTTCAATTTATTTCTAGTCAGTGATGACTAAATGACCTTAAATTTTTTTACCCTTCATCACCATAAACTGTCTAGTACAGACAGTTATCCTGTTAGTTCCTCTCTGGTATTATCATTTAAAACAGTCTTTTGCTCTTTTCTGCCCTGAAGAGATCTCTCTGTTAACTTGGATTTTCCAGGTTTTTTCATCCTTATCACAAATTAGAACATAAAGTATCATGTTCTAACAACATGGCCAGTCTCAACTGTGTTTTGACACTAAGAGAGAAAAGAAACTACTAATCTTGGTGTCACAGTCTTTTTAAAGTACTTAGCAGTCAATTATTCTCAGTGGGAAAGATATGCATAATGATAAAACTCATCTAATTTGGGCAAATATCCTACAAAAAATAAGTAGTCATACTTTATTTTAAGCATCAAAAGTTTTGATTTTTTTAAGTATTTTTTTTTTTTTTTTAGTTGTAGGTAGACACAATACCTTTATTTTATTTATTTATCTGTGGTGCTGATGATCAAACCCAGGGCCGCACACGTGTTAGGCAAGCGCTAACAATCCCAGCCCCAAAGTTTTGATTTGATTTTTTTCCCACTTTTATAGTTCAAAGGACAGAGTTATAGTGAGCTGTGTCCTAGGATACGTGTTTAAAATTAGGAGATAGTAAAATGGGATGGCTGAAAGAGAATACATTTCTGAGACTATTAAGAATTAATTTATGATAAGCAGATGTGCTTGGTTTTTAAGGATCTCTCTACTACAGCCTGTAGAAAATATATCCTATGTGAAACCTAAAATTTGAACTGTGGGATGTGAAAGTATTATAAAGAAGTAAGAACACAGATACTACCAGGTCTGAGTCAATATGTAATCTACAAAGTTAAGTTGAAAAATAAGAATTTGTGATAAGGATGAAAAAACCTGGAAAATCCAAGTTAACATAGAGATCTCTTCAGGGCAGAAAAGAGCAAAAGATTGTTTTAGATGATAATATCAGAGAGGAACTAAAGGATAACTGTCAGTACTAGAAGGGAATATAGGCTTGACTGCATGGAAATGGAAAGCATAAGGTTTTATTACCAAGTCACAGTATATTACCAAAGAATAAGTTTAAGAATTCAACAAATTTGTAGGAATTTACATAAAAGAAGGGAGAATAAGAGATTACTAGAGGAAAATAAAAATAAAAGTTTCAACTAGATCCACCTTTTACCTTATTCCTGAATTGAGGTTAATTCTGAAGTTAAAAGGATACATAGCAATGCATAAAAAAAATATTTTAATTAGTTCTTACTGAAGAAATTAATATACACATAATATACATTTGACCAACACTCAAATATAATCAATGAAAAAGTGAGTATCCCAACTACATTATATTCCCCAAATTTCTCTACCCAGGGGAAATATTATAGATTACATATTATTTTAGAAACAAGTCATATGCATGTGTGCATGCATATATATATATATGGATATACATATATACGCATATACACATATATATTTTGAAATGTATACACATACACACATATAATCACAGTTTATTTTTTTAAAGCAAAAGGTAGCATACTACACAGTCTTGACCTTGCTTTTTCTATTTAATATTTACTAGAAATGATTCCCTTCTAGTTCATAAGGAGCTGCTTCATTCTTTTTCTTGGTGGCATGTATAACATTTTATTTGTATATATCTTAAAATTTTTTTGACATTTTCTTACAAATAGATATTTATAAACAATGAATGATTAAAAATCTCTGTACATACAGAATTTTGTAAAATAATATTTTCAATGAAATAATTCCTAAAAGTTAAATTGTCACTTAAAAGAATACACACACTTATAATTCTAACAGAAATAATCAAAACTACCCTTACAAAGAATTGCATTAGTTTATGCTCCCTTAGTAAGGGTCTAGACTGAAATTGTAAAAGGAATATATTTAATAAAATGATTATTTTTTGGGACAGGGAGTGATAGAAAAGGTGCCGAAGGGGGAGCCAGCTTACCTTCCAAAATCACAGAGTTTTAAGACAGCTGTATCAGGATCCAACAAGAGGTTCTGTGGTTTAATATCCCGGTGGCAGATTCCAAAGGAATGGATGTAGGCTAAACTTCTGAACAGTTGATACATATACAACTGGAATAAATAATGAGCATTAATTGAATACTTCCTATTTCAATCAAACTAGAATCACTAAGCCACAAAATAGTAACATTCCCAACAGAGAACAGGTGAATACTGGTGATTACTCAATCTTCTTTAAACAAGTTTCATGTCATGTCTGTATGAATTAGCTAACTTAAGTATCATTAACCATGTATTTGTACCATCCTTTAATAACTTAAAAAAGGAAACCTGACAATGAGCTTTATAAGCTCTTACTTACTAACATCTTATCTCCAACTAGCTGAGTTTTTATTTAAAACAAGATATAAAACTCAAGAGAGATATCCCAAATCCTATGACTCAAAACCAATATTTGGATGAGAAGCCAAGTCTTCTGATTTTTTAGTTCATCATTCTTTCTAGTATGTCAGGCTGCTTAATGTGAAAAGTATTTCCAATGTCATCTTCAGAATCTTTTTTTTTTATTGATATGTCAGTTTCTAAGGTTATTGAAAACTCACAGGTGTGCTGAAAAAAATTAGCAATTACCTATCAAAACATCAGTAATCCTTTAGTAGCATCACCACTCTTTTTATTAATATCCTTCAGAAATAAGATTTTAAATACCATTTAAAAACACATGCCTAGGTGAATACTGACATCACCTTAAAAGATAATTTTCTTCAATTCTACTACTAAAAGAGATATATAGTTGAAACATACTATAAGAATACCATAATCCTGCGCTGGGGCTGTAGCTCAGTGGCAGAGCAGTTGCCTAGCATGTGTGAAGCACTGGGTTTGATCCTCAGCACCATATGGAAATAAATAAAATAAAGGCCTGCTGTCCATATACAACTACAAAAAAAAAAATTTAAAAAAAAGAATACTAAAATCCTCTGTTCATCCAAAGGCCAGTAGTGATCTAATTCACTCCCTCCCACCTTGGATCTTGGGTTCTCTTTGTAAAAATTTTTAAATAATTCACTTTGTAATTTTTCTGGCTGCTCACCTTCTGACCGCTAGCCCAAAATTAATTACATGGCAAAAAAATTGTGAAATGATTCAAACCAAAGATAAGAGTGTCTTGGTAAAATAATGAAAATTTGAAAATGAAATAAAATTAAAAGATACAGGTCAGATTAAAGCATTGACATATGATGACATATGACTTGTGATAAGGGTTGGATTACTTAATAGGAAACCTACTTTCCTTCAGAGGCATGACGGAAACTGCAAACAGGTGAATTTCAATACATCTTTAATATTAATATTAAGTTGGAAAAGTTTAAGCCTTCTTTAAGATGAAGTATGACATAAAATGCAAACATAAGGTGAATTCAATAAGATCAGCACTTGCCACTAAACTTAGAATTAAAATATTCAGGTATTCATGTATCTTTTTTAAAACTATGTAATTCTATAAAAGTGTATAATTGTTCACAGAATCAATCTCAAAGTCTTAAGATGTATTCTGCAAGTTTAATTCTTTATCACCTAGAAAATGATCTATAAGCAACTGAATTCACAGGTACTCATCTACTAAAATAAAGATTTTACCAACTCTATGAGGGTTTCAACATCTATGTCAGCAAAAAAAAAAAAAAAAAAAAAAAAAAAACCAAAACAAATGAAAACAAAAAGTTTTCTTTAAAAAAATGCTAAACAGCTTAAATTAGGTTAATTTCAAGATGACGTTTTACTATATTCTTTCATCTGAAAGATAATCTCCATTCTCTTCACTTGATTCTTTATTCTTTAGATTAACAATAAAATACTCATTTTCACATCTTGTTGTTGTTCCACTTTGTAAAAACATACTTATAAGAAACCTAAAAGGCTTTCTACAGAAGTTAGGCACTATTCTAGTGCTTTATATGTATTATTTCACTTAATCCTGGAACAACCCCATGTAATCCATAAATACTACTATTATTTGATTTTATAAAATAAACCAGGCCTTTCAGGTAACCAGGCCCAGAAAGATTAAATAACAGCCCACTATCACATTTGCAATCTTCTGTAATGGTTTGAGGATGAATACTCCTCTTTAAATTTTACTTTCTTTATTCTGCCATATCTTTACTCTAATGAACCCAATTTGAAATATAACGTATTATTTTAACAATTTTTACAATCACTCTGTGATATATACATTTCCCCTTATTTTTCCAGGAGAGGAAATTGAGGCTCAGTGAGCACAGTAATAAAGTTAATCTAACTCAAGGCCAATGTACTCCCCTCTGTGCCACCAAATCTGTTTAAAATAAATAACAAAATAACAAAAATGTATCCAGCTCTCTTATGTATTCAGACCTTGTCCTTAAACAAGTTAGTTTGTTTTCCCAATTATTTAAAAAAAAAAAAAAAACCCACTTGAAGCTGGGTGTAGTGCACACATCTATAGCCCCACCTACTCACGGGGCTAAGGCAGGAGGATCATTTGAGCCCAGGAGTTCAGAGCCAGCCTGAGCAACATAGTGACACCTCACCTCAAAAAACAAAACAAAAAATTTAAATTCATACCAATGATTGGATAGCCATGTGTTTCAGAATTACATTTCAAAACATACTTAGTTCTGAAAGATGCATAGCACAAAAACACAGGCACTCAAAACTTTTTATCTTATAACTATTATCAACTACAAAAAAGGCAATAGAAGTAGAAAAGGGGTGAAGAAACAGGTTCCAAACAATATAGTCAGAGAACAACTCAACTCACCTAGAAAAAGTGAAAGTAAATAATCACAAAGAAATGCATTTTCCATTTTGGTAACATGTATGCCAAACAAGTCCTTATTAGATGGTGATCATAAAAGAGTTGTATGTAATTTGTCACTTTTATTTCCATCTCCCAAACTAAGATTTTTCAAATAATAGGACTACAATTAAACTATGCAATATAAATAAGTGAAGGAGCTCAACTCATAAATTCATTAACTATAGACAATAATTTTTCTCTTTTCAGGACTTTAAACATACAAATAGATTTGTATCTCCAGAGAATAATACCTAGGGCCAAGAGTTCTGATTCTGAAAGAGCTGTAGTTAAAAAGAAAAAAAAAAAGAAAGAGCTGTGGTTATTAAAAAAAAGAATAATTCCTTTTTTTTCACAAGGAGGAGAAACAAGTACGAGATTTCTTTCCAGTATGTCAACTTCAATATGCACAATTTAATTTTATTTTTTAAAGATAGAATGTCAGAGATGAAGCCCAACTATATGCTGGCAAAATATGAAAATATGGAGTGATCTCCAGGATATATTTTTCAATCCAGGAAAATATAAAAGAGATCTCCAGGATGTATTTTTATACCCCACCCCCACCCCCCAAAAAGAAAAATTTATACATTTAGAGAAAAAGGGACTAGAATTGGGTAAAATAATTACACACTGCTTGTTTTTTAAAATGATATAATAAACTGTTTTAAAATATTTAAGACCATTTAACTGGTAGAAGGAACACATAAAAGTTAATCTTCTTTGAACATATTTTGTACTTTGTTGTTTTTTTTTTTTTGAATTTTTTAATATTTATTTATTTTTTTTAGTTTTCGGCGAACACAACATCTTTGTATGTGGTGCTGAGAATCGAACCCGGGCAGCACGCATGCCAGGCAAGCGCGCTACCGATTGAGCCACATCCCCAGCCCAATATTTTGGACTTTGAAAGCATGTAAATATTAAAACATGTAAATGTTAATTTAAAAGTAAAATTAATTTAGCATTTTAAAATTACAACTATAATAACAGTAAAATGAAATTACAAAGCTTAATGAGGTATAATCACACAAAGAGAGTTCTTCAATGTTGCTTTAAAACAGATACCTTGGTTAATTCCTAATGGGATTGAATGGGAGGTTAAAAAATGCTTCAAAAAGATCTTACATTATTGTCAGCTAGAGGTGCTAACAAGTGGGTGATTATAATGCTGTCATTGAGAAGTGAAATTTTCAGTGTTAAGTGTGGAAGATTATCAGGGTTTAAAAAAATAGACTCTGATGTCATGTAAAACTAAGAAGAACCAATAATAATTTTTAAAAAAGATATGATTTTTAAAAACCCTCAATTTTAATTGGAAGTATCAATATGAATTTATTGTGTATTTACCCTTGGGGGAGAAAAACAGATGTGTTATATCTTTGAAAAAATTACCCACATCTCCTAGCTCTTTTTACTAAAAATATCCAGAAGCAGTAACCAACCCTATAGCATTTAGCACCTCCAGCATTTAGACTGTGATATCTAAAAAACATTTGTTACTAAAAGAACATGGTCTCCTTGAAGAAAAAGTTGATTCCAAGTATGAGAAAGAAATGTGTAAGATGAACCTGGAACACTATTCTAGAAAACAAGAAAGCTATCAAATAGTATGAACAAACAAGAAAACACCCAACTAGTCACCTATGAAGGATGTTATAGAACCAACCAATTCTAAATTTTGCTAAATAATAGTAAGGAAATCAAATATATACCTGTCTTTTTATATAAACTGTACTTTATAGAGTACAGATAAAAGTACATGGGGGACTGGGGTTGTAGCTCAGTGGTAGAGCCTGGCATGTGTGAGGCACTGGGTTCGATCCTCATCACCACACATTTTAGTTTTGATTACTAAAACTAAAATAAAAAAAGATTAAATGGGGAAGTTTCTCTTTATGAAAGAATTCCAGCTCTTAAGATGAAATAAAAACATTCAACAATAACATTTTATAAGGCCTATGTGGTGCTGCACACCTGTAATCCCAGCAACTCGGGAGGCTGATGAAGGAGGACCACAAATTCTAGGCCAGGGAAACTTAGCAAGGCCCTGTCTCAAAATTAAAACGGTCAGGGATGTAGATGAGTGGTAAAGTGCCCTTGGGTTCAATCCCCAGTACCAAATAAACAAATTAAATAAGTAAGATGGCATCAGTATTAGAAACCCCAAATTAAATAATACTAAATAAATAAATATATTAAAATGTTTAAAATTGCCAAAAGGTTAAATTTCTGCTACAGATACAATAAATGTACCTATAAATGTCAATAAGACCTTAAATTTGAACATATTTATAAGTATATAATTTTATGTGAGTCTACATGATATGTTCCTATTTTGGTCTGTGGCACAATAAAGATCAGAAATTAAATGAAAATAAGCAACAGATAGCAGAATAAAAATCCAAAATTGTCTATGAACAATTCACTAAAATTTATCAGAATACCTTTAATATGTGTCATGAAAGTTTTAAAAGTGAAATCTCATTATTTTAAAACCATACAAAAATTTACCAAACTAGCATTATCTACCTTAGCAGTTTTTCCTCCCTGAGAATTAAATGCAGTAATACAATTTAAAAATATCCTGTATTCACCCTGGCTCACAACAAATATTTTCCAAAATGGGAAATTGTTCCATTTTTACATACCTTGACGTAGATCACAGGGAGAGTCTGTTTGGCTCTACTATAGTGTCTGGCAACTCTGTATACTGTTTCCGGAACATAGTCCAGCACCAGATTAAGGTAGACCTCATCTTTCTGAAAAGGTTTATTCAAAACAAAAAACAAAACAGATTACAAATTGGCCTTTCTTTAAATACTCAAAGTAAATTCCCTATACATTCACTTGTTCAGATTTTTAAATAAAAAAATTGTGTGTTCAATTTTAATTACACAAAATTATTTTAGAAAATAACCAAAACAGTAAAAACAAGTGTACACACCTTAGTAATAATTCCATGTTAAAAACATGGATGTTTCAATACTGTTAAGATTCCCAATCATATTTAAACTATTATTTTGTTTACCATGATTTTCAAAGACATCGCCAATCACAAAATTTCCTATCTTCTAAGCTGAGAATTAATGTCTTCATATCCTACCAGTAAAGCAGTATGGTAGTACTGAATTGAGAGCTAAGAAAAACAGATTTCTAGCATTAGCTCTGATGGAATTAGTATGTGCAAGTCAATCACTGTAGGCTTCAGTTTCATCAGCTGTAATTTGATTAGATATTGTTCAAAATGTCTCTACTGTCCAGTTGGATACGGTGGTACATGCCTGTAATTCCAGAAGATTCAGGAGGTTGAGGAAGAAGGATCTCAAGTTCAAGGCCAGCCTCAGCAACTGAATGAGGCATTTAGCAAATTAGGGAGACTGTGTCTCAAAACAAAAAAAAAGAAAAGAAAAGAAAAAGCAATAATGGATTCAGTTCTGGTACTAAAAAAAAAAAGTCTCTAATCTCCACAAAAAAGATTTTATGGTTACTTAATAGTATATAATTAGTAAAATAATCACTTGTGTTCTATAATTAACTGTAACAAAAAGAGTAACTCTTAAGGAAGTGAGTTACCACATAAAGGTCATATGTTTAAATATCCTTTCTTTTAGCAGCACAAAGACACCAACTCATGATCTGAAGAAGGGATTCCAACCAAATAAGAAAGAGGAACAACCTGTACCCTGTTCATGTAAATGATATCAGTTAGATAAATCAAAGTAGAAAATGAAGCTGAGAATCTATGAGTGGGAAAAACTACAGGTAAACAAACTTCCATAATTTCCAAATATGAAATTATCTTAAGCTACCAAACTGAAGTAGAGAATTTAAATTTTCAGCATTTACTGTACATCACTAGTCACTGCAGAGGAATTAAGTGTGCAGGTATAAAAGAGGCAATGAAAATTGAGTATGCAAGGAGGACTTCAGGTGGAGTGAAAACAAATCACAATGTGAGGTCAAAGTGAATGGCAGATACAAAGAGGATTCAGATGTCAAAGTTTTCTTTTTTTAAAAAACTCATAATAACAGGCTGAGGTTGGGGCTCAGTGGCAGAGCACTTGCCTCACACAAGTGAGGCACTGGATTCAATCCTCAGTACCACATAAAAATGAATAAGTCAAAATAAAGATATTGTGTCCATTTATAAGTAAAAACTATTTTTTAAAAAACTCTTAATTACAACTTTTTTATTTTAAGAAATCATTTGAGAAAAGTTAATTGTGATATATTTATTAACAACTTGCAGATATGCACAGCATTGGGTTACAATTTATTTCATTTGCTAAACAATCATTCTAAAAGGGAAGAATACAAAGAATAAAAGACTACTGTTGTGTTCAATGGTGGTTTTCTTGTAGTAAGACTATGAACTCTGTCCTTTATAAGTGCTTTATAAGTGCATTTACGAGGGGTTGTAAGGGCAAATACCTTCAATAGCTAATTAACAAATGTAAAGGTATAGCCAAACTCTGTAAAGCAGTAAGGGACAGTGGTTGGTCAACCAGTGGAAGACTTAATTAAAAGCATCCCCCCCCAAAAGAGCAATATGCTACCTAGTCAAATAAAACATATTAGGAGATAGATTTTACAGTCAGCATATAATCTCTAATTTTAACACAGCCAACTAAGATTGACACAAACCTAGGAAAAATGGCTTAAAATGGAAGACTGAAGTTTAAGACTCTAATGGGCTAGAATGAAAGACCAAATTTACAACATGAAATGTAATAGAGCCCTATCAACTTATTATATAGAGGTCTGGGGATGTGGCTCAAGAGGTAACGCGCTCGCCTGGCATACACGGGGCGCTGGGTTTGATCCTCAGCACCACATAAAAATAAAATAAAGATGTTGTGTCCACCACAAACTAAAAAATAAATATTAAAAAATTCTCTCTCTCTGTAAAAAAATAAATAAATAAATTTATTATGTAGAATGATAGACCAGACAGAATCAAGATATACACAGCAGTAATCCATTTGCAAAGTAAATGATAGGTGTAAATGACTAGAATGGAAAAGGAGTCTCGTTGAGAGATTGCTAATGAAAAACATAACACAACAACAGGATATGACAGAAGTACTGTGTTGCAGATTTCAGGCCTCATTTAAAGTACTGATGATATCCCTTTTTAAAGCATATTTTATTCATGGTAGCAGCAAAGTGCAGTACATCAAAGGACGGTTAACAAATAATGTATGCTATAAATTCAACACTCTAATTTATTATTTTATGAAAAATATGAAGGCTCAAATAAATTATCTTTTTAAATTTATAAATGTTTAAATGTAAATTAAAGCCACAACAATAATCCCTGAGGAAGGGGAGAATTCAACCCTCCGAAACATAAGAGAAAAGGGCTGAATTCAGCATTTTTAGCACTTATAATTTCCTGAAACATTCTCAGGGTCTGCTGTTTTCTTTTCTTTTTATTCTTTTTTCTTTTTGTTTGGTACTGAGGATTGAACTCAGGGGCATTCAACCACTGAGCCACATCCCCAACCTATTTTGTATTTTATTTACAGACAGGGTCTCACTATGTTACTTAGTGCCTTGCCATTGCTTTGAACTCTCAATCCTCCTGCCTAGCCTCCCAAGCTGCTGGGATTACAGGCAGGTGAAGTGGCACCCAACTCAGGTCTGCTGTTTTCTTAATGTAATCTCTCTTGGATTACCTGACTGAATTCTGGAAAACTCACAGATTAGTTGTAAAAGTTAAAAGCTGATACAGAAATAAAACACATTAAAGAATAGGACTTCAGATGTAGATTATAAAAACACTTATTTCACACCAACATGAGGAAGTACTAAACTCAAAGAGGTGTTACTAGGCTTCCAAAACTGGCTAAGAAGTCACTGCTACTTTGAAAAGAATTATATTTTTATACAAAGTGGGTCTTATTCAAAAACCTAAAAAAAAACGAAGGTATAAATTTAGACAACATTTTTTGCATATTAAAGAAATTTAAATGACAGGACTTCGATTATACCTAACAAGTCAAAAACAGCAGGGGTAACTCTAACATGTCTTCAGAAAATAGATAATATTTTTATGCCCAGATAACTTCTGAGGTCAAGAAAACAAAATGGCTTAAGGCTACAGTTTTAAATAGAACCATGGTGGGATACAAAGCAGTGTATCAGAGAACGCAGTAATAAGGCATTCAACCCAATGTCATGGTAGACCAGGATTCTCCTTGGAATCGGGTCAAAAGAACTTCATAACAGTTATCTTTCCTCTGATGGGTAAAATGGGCTAGCGAGATGGAAATAACATGAAAGGCAAAGGGTATGCATTAGGGCAAATCTTTTCTGCTTTGAAACTTTGGGGAAGGAATGGAAAGGGGAGGTAAGCAGCTAGCAAACAACAAGTAAGGTAAGCTTTCTCCCCATCTGACATCTTAAAATAAATACCCAAATTACAAAAAGACGTTTTTTTAAAAAAACTGCAAATGTATTAGAAGAAAATATGAGTGTTTCTGCAAACCTTGGAGGACAAAAACAGCTATAAGCTATTAAGGAAAATATGCCAAATTGGTTACATAAAAATACGAAACTTTTATATTACTTTAAAAAAAATCACATAAATTATTTCTAAAAACTATGATAATTAGGAGGAGAATAATTATTTCAGTTACACATGTCAAAGGACGAATTTGTTTTTATTTAAATACTGAATAAGACAAGACCAATATTCAAATAGAAAAAAAATGGAAAGAAAGGTGTTATGGTTTGGATATAGAATGTCCCCAAAGGTTCACGTATTGAAGGTTTGGTCACCGATGCAGTAATATTCAGAGGTAGGACCTTTAGAAAGCTGAGTGGATCATGAAGGTTCAGACCTCATGAGTAGGTTAATGCACTGATGAGTAGGTTAATGCAAATCATGAATCATTTGATGGCATTATTGAGAGGTGGTAAAAACTGTAGGAGATGGAGTATGGTTGAAGGAAGTAGGTAATAGGCAGCACACCCTGGTAGAGTATATCTTGTCCCCAGCCCCTTCCTCTCTCATTTGTTCTCCGTGCTTACAGTCTGCCATGAGGTAAGTGGCATTCCTGTACTGTATCCTTTGGCACTGATGTTTTGCTTACTTCAGGCCCAAAGCACTGGAGCCAGCTGACCACAGACTGAAACCTCTGAAATCATGAACCAAAATAAATTTTCCTCCTCCAAGGTTTTTTGTTTGTTTTGTTTTTTTCCCTCCCTTTCAGGTATTTTGTCCCAAAGATGAAAAGCTGACCAACACAGAGCATGAAGATAGATAGTCACACAAATAGCCAACAAAAATGTGGAAAGATGTTCAACCTTACTAATAATTAAAGAAATATAATAAAAAATATAATGAAGTTACCATTTTTCACCTATCAAACAGGAAAAGATAATTCAATCCTAAGAAACCTAAGTATGAGAAAAGGTCACTTTCCAAAATGCACCACAACACCATTCTGGTGGAAACTCAAAACTCATGCAACCTTTTGGGAAAGTAAATAGGTTAACCCATTTCAGCCAAAAGTGAAGACATACAGACTCCCAATTTGACTCAGCAATGCCATTTCTAGGAATCAAGTTTATGAAAACAATTGTGCATGTATGTGTGCCCTTATGCATGTGAATAAAATTCCTTGCTATTTGTGACTTTCACACAGGAAGGAAGGTAGAGAGAAAGAAAAAGAAAGGGGGGAGAAAGCTACAGATTGTAAAGTTGATGAGGTACTCTTTCTATAACTTAGAAGTTTCATTTAATTAAAAACAC